TAATGACAACAAGGGGGTTTGACAAAAACGCAGTCCAGTCAGATAGACGGACACAATAAGAACACTGGGCGAACAAGCGACCTGCGATTGGAGATACGGACCTACTCGGAAGGAATTGGACTTGGAATTCAATGGGATAAGCAACTTTGAGGGGGCGATGTTGACGGAAACGACGAGTGGAAGGGAGCGGACTAGAGAGGTGAAGATACACACCGTAGCGCAATTAAATGAGGAGAATAATCGGCACCAAATGAAACGGACAACAGGCTTGTGAGGATAGTGAGCGCCGTCGAACGAGTCTAGCAATCTAGTGGGAGAACTGGAAGAAGTTTGGAGTGACTGGACTCGTGGTGAATATGGTAGTTAATGGGGCAGAGGCTGACGGACCATTAATTGGAGGTTGAAGCCTCTCAAAGGCGACACCAGGCCAGATGCTAGAGCGCACACACACTGGACGGTGGCACTTGGGGCTTGGCGCAGAAGTCAGAAACTTCAGCGTTCAGGAGAAGTGGGGAGAAAAGCGACTAGCAGCAGCAGCTAGCAGACTAGCGGGAAGTGGGACGTTGAAAGAAAAAGAGGGACGCAGAGCGAGAGCGAGAGATGCGCGGAGACTCTGATGAGAGACAGAGCTGGGCGGTTGGACACTGGACGCCGGACGGAGGATAGTTACAAGACAGAAGAAAGCCAGATCTTTGGTGCTGCATACTCCGTATTCTCACCTTTACCCTTAAGGAGAATACAACCTGTCGAACTTGTCGGGATGCAGAAAGCAGCCATCCAGTTAGAACAACTGCAGACATCTCCCTATACCACAGCCACTATTATTAATTCCTATTAACTATTATTAATGATGATGATGATGATGATGATGATGATGATGTTGTTGTTGTTGTTGTTGTTGTTGTTGTTGTTGTTGTTGTTATATGGTTGTTATTTTTCCGACGGGATCTGAACTCACTCCCTGTTCCACATAACAACACATCGCCTAGTTATCTGTTGCAGTTAAATAAAGCCTATAAGACATAGGCTGATAAAAAGACTTATATTTAAGCCACTACAGACAACACAATTGCCAACATGCCATGAACCAGTATACCCTGTGCCTGTTTGCCGGTTAGCCCCTTGTTCTCCGCTGCTAGGTTCTTTATCCAGCCCGTACGATTTCTGCAGAAACGCCAGATCGGGTGTCTTCCATTTATGACAGGCCAAACCCTCATAATTACCGTGATATCTCGGCGCCATGTATATTGTCAATTGCCAAATCATGGGCACAACCCGGTTACGGCAGAGTCAAAATACGAGTCGATAATGCCAGAATTTGGCTCACAAAAACGAATGAAAGAAAGAGAGAAAAGAAGAAACAAACGAGCACGCAAAAATGAAAAAGAAGAGGTTTTCATCTCCCCGCATTGCCGATATGCGAAAACGCCAATCAGTGGTACGTTGTGCCTGATCCGAACCAATCAATCAACAGAGTTTATAATGGTTCCAAAGGAAAAACGCCAGAAAACAAGGGGAAAACAAAAGCAAGAAGCAAATAATAAAAGCAAAGAAAGAAATGGAACAGAGTTAGTGCTAAGACGGTGGCGGCTCCACTAGAATGTCTATCGAATCGCCGTGGAAGGCAGAGAGCTCCGTTTTCAAGTCCACTAGAATCACAATCTCCAGTTTAGCTCTCTCTAGACCCCTGGGGAGGCCAAACTTGGGGGAGCCGTCTCTTCCAATATCTCCTCCTCTCTGATTTTATGCTAAGATTTTTTTTTTTTTTTTTTTTTTTTTTTTGGGGGGGGGGGGGACCGCTGAAAAATGTAACTCTCTGGATGTAACAGAGTGAGAATCTCGACCGCACCAGACCGACAAATGATGACGGTAAATCCGAACCCTACTGGAACTATACCTGTTAATTATTTTAACGAACGAAACAAAACCCGGTGAACTCTCAACATCTTAATAAAATGAATCAGTTCCACCACTGGAATTACAGCAACCGCCAAATTCCAGCTTTGCTAACCGTCTAATCAATGCAGCCGCAGTCACTTCAGCGTTGGCCCAACTTTTGCTAACAAAAGTATTCACGCACTTGATTGTTGCGCTTTTCGTTGGATGAACCGCCGTGTGGCAAGCCCGTCCTGCATAGATTGCTAATGTCAGTTACCTCTATCCAAACGGAATCTTCTCTTGTTTCTTTTTCTCTCCCACCATCGGTTTTTTTTTTTTTTTTTTTTTTTTTTTTTTTTTTTGCTTTCTTTCTTTCTTTCTTTTCTTTTCTTTTTCTTTTTTTTTTTTTGTTTGTTTGGATATGTTCCTGTCTACAGAACAAACGGAGGATAAATAATAGAAATCTCACGACCACCGACTTGCCGACTTGCCGACTTACCACAAGCTAAAACCTCGAGGAAATTAACCCGAAACTTCTTACCAAACAGATATGTCTAGGACTGTGAGAACCAAGTAGAATTAGACTGCCTATTCTGCAGGTCCCGTATGTGCCACCTGAAAAGATTTCAGTATGACCAGGGATGTCCTTTTATGATTACTTGCAAAATAAGATTGAACTCAGAATTTTGGCATCTGGTCAGCTTTTCGTGTCTCCAAGTAGGAAACTTCCTCGTTAATCAGCTAATCACTCGTCATAACTTGAGGAGTTGTTAGGAGCTCCCTTCATCAGTGGCTCAGCAACTTGTGAACTTGGGAAAAACTTGAAAAGTTTCAACCTTCCAAACAATGAAAAAGAGTAGAGAGTATCGGTAATGAGGACCTTCTTTGGCGGCGCATCAACCTTTCCAGTGGTAGAATGTCAGGGCTGAAAGGAAAGGTTTTTTTGTCTGAAGGGGCGGCTTCCATCACTATCTTTTGTTTTATAGTTCCAGCTTGAATCCCACGGTGGGTGGTACAGGTGAAGAGAAACCTTTCCGTACATTTTAATGATAATCAGACTAAAATCCGATTGAACTTAAAATATCATTTCTATCATTCCTAGCTGCAATGGATCAATGAACATATATATTCATGCTCCTCGCCAGGTTCATAGGAATCTCCATATAAATAGTGCATCCTATCTCTTCGGAAGCGTCGCTGTTGTGGACTCCCCGGTTCTCATTTCACTCGGAATTGACTACCGGATGGATACCATTAGCACCGAGTTCCCGAACCCTCACCCCGGCTCGGACATGATCCCCTGTTCTGAATTTTCTCACCTTGGGAAATTAAAATCCGGTGTGCGGGATCTTAAATTATCCAAAATTGAAAGGTCTTTGATCCAGCAGCCCTGTGCTGGGAACTCTAGCTGATCGGGTGTTTCGGGGACATCCCGTCTGTGTCTCCCTTCATTTCGTTGTTCCCGAAGGCAAATTTTTATGGGTAGATGAAAGCATTATTGACATTCATATGAACAGCATACCTATAGGTACTGTATATGGACACAACTACGTCCGTCAAATACATGGAGGGACCCATATGACGCATCCGAATTTTTGGCCAGAGCGGTTGGGTGCTACGTAGCAAATGGACAAGAGCTGCTGCAGGAGATCAGGTTTCACATCTAACTCTGGATTGAGGGTTGAGAACCGACCAGACGTTGTTCCAAGTTTCGTCAAAATATGCAATGATTAACTTAATTTCATGATACAGGGCATGACCTCGAATTATGGATGCAAAATGGGAGTCACAAACGGTGATTCCCGCCTCCTGCGTCTTGTTCATAGACTGCACACCGCTGCGGAAATTCAGGCGTTTTTCTATTTTATCCTCTGCAGAATCATACTAGTTGCAGAAGGTATCAGTCATTCAGGGACTTACAAAAGAAATCATCTTTTCACCAAACTGACTTCTCTGCAGAGCCCGCGAATCGATAAACCTGAAATGGAGAAATGGATGCTTAAGTTGAGAGATAAATAATTGCTCAGAGTTAGCGTGGAGAACTTCTTCCAACCCGAGCGACCAAACAAGGGGTGTTCGAGCATGGCTGGCCGTCGTGGGTGTCAGCCCCAACCGCGGATCCCACTCCTGACGAACTCAACTGTTCTGATCAATCACAGGGGAAATGTGGAGTCGAAAATGGAGGAGACTGTGACAGGAGGTGCTTAATATGACTGGCTAATGCTTCAGGATTGCGCTCAGGCAACATGTCATATTTTACAATAACAAGACTGATTAACTATCAGCCAGTGATCACGAAGTGACATTAACATCATGATTCGGCTCCGAGCCTCAACGTTTCTAAAATTTTGCTTTGATTCGGGAATTTGAAGTGACTTTACCAGCCCATCCATTGTGGATAATACCCTGGTTTTCAGCAGAAAAAATACCATCTTGCTGAGTTTTCGAATGGCAGTTTAGCAATGTTTAACTTAGGGCATAATCCTTGCTGCCAGGTTGAAGAATGGATTTCCTGGATGGCAACAAGCATAGCTGGTTTCAGCCTCATCCGGAAAGAAAGGGATTGTTCGTGTGCCGGCTCCAAGCAACAATAAAAGAAATCAGCGATATACGTTTTACAGTTGGAGTGTGAAAAGAGAATCTTTTTGGGTGTGCTTGGTGTCTTTTAATGGCCTCCTTCCCCGGTTTTTGAAGAGTACCGGAATTTTTGGAGGATGGTATAAATTCAACCTTAGCATCATGAATGGTGCTCACGATACCCCTGATATTCGTGGGGGGGCAAGCCATCCGGGTGTGTGCTTTCAGAGTAGATTGCGAATGCTAAACGATTTGACAAGTATTTGAATTTGGATCGTGCATTTCTTATTTCAAACATGGAAGGCAATATGACAGGTTTGAACCTGTCATAAATGGACCTGGGGATTTTATATATCTTTCTCCAGGTTTACGAGCTCATGTCATTCGACGGGTTATGAATAAGCTAACTGGGAGTTTTAGGGGTCGAGCGTTCTGTTGATTCACCGAATGATTACGCAGATCTCAAACTCCAGCGATTTAGAATGAAGGAAGAACAGGAAACCCCGGCTTTGCTTCCATGTCCTCCAGCTACTTGATCGGAGAGAATGGAATTAGGGAGTCCAAAAGATGACTTTGCAGACTCTCACCTTGACGGAAGCCCTCAGGTTAAGCTCAATTTGCTGAGCCAGACGCAGTTGACATTCCAACTTAAATTCTTTGGCGAAGGCGAGCGATTGGGCTTAGATGTCTGCCTTGCACTCTTCGTGCATGTGCAGTGTAGCAAATTCGAAGTCTACCCAATTACCTCCGCATATTGGTTTAATTATGAACGATGCATTGATTTTGCAGCTCGCAGAAGAGTTCCGGCGGGTCTCACGAGGCAATCTGGCTTGTTGTAATGCCCTCGTTGTCCTATCTGTTTATTTATTATGCAGATGATAGTGTGCTGTAAACACAGATAAGCCAGAGGTGAGCATTATTTCATATGTGGTGGATACCACATTGGCTCAACTATAGTTAACTGATGTCAGTGAAACCATATCACACAAATCTGGGCTGCTATCTCTTTGGTCCAATATACACCAGTCGCGACCTTACAGTGTTTGGTTAATATCCAATCTATGAGATTTATAAACGGCAAATGCAAACAGCTTCAAATTTCTAATCACCACTGGAGGATGCCCTATGATGGCAACCTCAATCAGAATCTCTCAGCAAGGGGGTATAAATAGCGATGGACATCAACGCACAAAACAAAGATGAAGTGCAAAACACGATGACATGTTAATGTTCCTAGGCTGAATGGCGTCCGTCAGAAGAGGATTTGGGAAGTTTACAGTGCTTTTGGCCTTATCAATATCTCCGTAGGTTATGGAGCGTTAAAGGCTTCCATAATTGCCTCAAACAAATTGGCACGCCAGCTATCTACCACGAAGGACAAGCAGTACGCACGAACGGTCCCATCAGGCGGCTAAATCACGATTTCAGTGGTCATGCTAAAACAAGCCCATTTTGCTTGCTGGCGCTTACCATCCGTCTCAACTATTCGGCTTTAATCATTTCTTCTTGGTGCAATTCAAGGCGCGATTCACCACTTCCTTGACTACACGGCAAGGCTTGACTGAACTGTTTGCAATTTCCGATTTTTACGGCACTTACTAGCATCAGACAAATACTAACCATTCCGGTAGAAGTTTAAGCCGTCAATAGCAAATTCCTTCCATCTATCGTTAGAGCTGGTACACTACTACGGCACAGAGAATTGCAGGATGAAGATCCCAAAGGAGTGTGATCTGTAATTCTGTTGAAAGAATCCGTCATCGCTACGCGGCCAACACGCAACCGTGCTCCCGCAGAAAATGATTGCAGTACCAGGAATACCAATCATTGGAGAAAAAATCAAGCTGACGCGAAATTTCCGGAGCTTCGGGTGTTGTCGCTTCATTATTATCCCTAAATTTGATGGAACAAACCAGATATTCCCTTCCCAGGTTTATTGGCCTTCCAGTTGGGTAAATGCACTCATTGGCTTCAGGTGAAGCACCCGTATCTAGTGAGAAAGATCCGTATGCTCCTTGCTCCTAGAACAACCAAATCCAGGACGACTTGTAGCATGAAGAATTTATGGGACACCGGAACTTTGCTTTTCATTTTGACAAGGCCCAATATCCTCTTGGGCGTGTCCAACCTACTAAGGTAGACGGGGAGTACTGTGAGATCTCGGTGTTGGCTATTGGGTTAGTCATGTAGATGGAGGTTACCCAGGGACGCGCTCTTGGAATTCGCTATATATGGTGCGGATATGGCACACCAGCATTTGTTATTTACAATTGAGCCATTTCGTGTTGGAATCCGGCATTCCTGAGTTGGGACGAGATACAGTTCTCAAACGAAGGGACTTTGACGGCAATACTCAATCCTTGTGCAACTTGGTTGCACGCTATGGGTAGTTTATCCAAATCAAAGGTTAATTTATATTTATCCCTGCTCACCTCTGCTGGTAACGCTTTGCTGGCAGGCACAAATCCAATAAAATACCAATTGATAACTGCCACTAACCTCGGTTTGTTCAAAATAGAATGACTTGGGGAATGTTTGGTGCCTCAGTACCTCTCTTTTCTATCAAATTATCGACAGTGATTTAGGAGACTTTAGGGTAACATGTATGGATTATTCTAGAGGTAGAATAGACGAAAATAAGGTTATCCTCCGGGTGAACATTGAACTTAGGGAACCTCATCGATCTTAACTATTCGATGGTTACCGGGATCAACCAAACTTTGCAATATTTAGAGCCAACCCTTTAAAATCTTTTGTCTTGTCAACGTCGCCTGTAGTTGCACTATCACAGCTCAGAGACCATTTTATATCCTGGCAAACGTGGAACCAAATCTATACATTAGTCAGTTTGATTCGTGGGGAAGAGCAAGATACGACGAAGCAGGATCATGTAGTGTAAACACAGCTTCAGTATCCTTGGGCTGAGCAAGAATCTGGTGACCGAATACTGTTTTCTCTCCTTTCGCGCCCCGTATCACCAAGTCTTAAGTAGAGGCGTTGCTTTAAGCAAATGAGGTTATTCTTGGGGAATTGGCATTTGACGTAAATCCATCATATCCGCTGAAGTTTTATGCTGAACAATTTCAGCTACTCTGTGAGCAATATCACTCCAATAAGGAATGACAAGACCACAGCTTTGCCGACCACTTTGCATGTAGTTAACAGTCGCGGCTAACATTGGGGACCTAGAGTTCATGCTTGGGAGTCTAATATTTAACAGTTCGTTTTTCTACCTTCAAATGTGCAAACACCCATTCCAGCTTTTTGTTAGCTGTATAAAATGCAGCAACGCAGCAGAGTGTAGGTCCAACTTCAAGCTGAGCCTCAAACGACAGGATTCGGATTAAACGGTGCCCGGACCAAAATAGCTAACTACCGACTAGGAAGACACAGCAAGATAATGCACGGATTGTAAATGATGGTAACACAGAAGGAGACATAGAAATCCCCAGTTTTCCACGTGCGGCAGCATTAAGCATGCCTCCGTGACCGTGGGTCAAGGAGTATTGCGAACACACCGGAAGGAAGAAATTGGGAAAGCTACGAGGAGCCATAAAGAGTAGAGTTGGGGGAAGCTCGCGTGGCAGACATGGCGTCTGGCTCCTTATGCTGTCACACCAATGATCGGGGCATTGCTTGAATAGTTTGGATGTCATAAAAAAATGAAATGGAGACCACAAATCAAGGTCTCAGGGTGTACCCCTGGACGAAGGCAGCAATCGAGGCAATGAAAGAAAATTGAGGGGAAGTCCTAAATAAATGGATCTGGGGCTGATGTGCGCATGTCCATTCGCAACTGCAGATATCCTGTCGAATTGTGCCACGAGTTCCTGAACTTCGAGTATCAACCATCTTTGACCGGGTGGCGTACCATCACAAACATTCCGGGGTTACTATTCCGCATCATTACTAAGTAGGTCCAAGCGATGTCGGCTTGTGGGAATTGACCGGTTCAATTCCCGTGTGTCCGTCAAAGCGGTTTTGACTATGTATTCCCCATCAGCAGCAAGTAACCTGGGGGCCAAAATCCATCATATGAATAAGTGTCGTGGTATCAGAAGCCTTTACCAAAAGAAAGAAAAAAGCTCCCGCATGACTTGAATCAAGTCAAATTATGCATATTTGTAGGAGAAACCTGGCGAAACCGTTCTTTATGTAATCTTTCCCTTTGACTTCTCTTTTACCCTTCCCAACACCTTCATTATTGTTCATGTCCCCGCTTTGGCAGATTATTCTGCATAAAACGTGGAACCTGGGATCCCCTCGTCATAACATGCATTGAGTCAGGAATAGAGTGCAGGAGGTCGTTTGTCGGATCACAGGAGAAAGTCCGCAAAAGGCTTGCAGCCGTAGAGCGGAATTCATCGAACACCATTGAGATCCTTGCAACATCTTGAATTTCCCATGTGGCCTTGAAGTCAACTTTTGTTCTTTGACCATTGGTCAAAAACCCACGCTCCCAAGTGAACCGTTGGTTCAGTCTCTGGACATAGAGAGAGACAGACAGGCATCTAGGTAGTTACTATAGTTACCCAATAAGATACGTCTTGTGTGGACGCCCAGAGATGAGCTCTGCGGTTTCACTGTCTGGTAGAGTCAAACTCCTTGCAATATTCCGCTCACTAGGGAGGAATAACACTTGGAGATGTGATCTAGGTGGGTTGGGAGCTACCTTCGAGACCTCAAACCAGCTCTTGGACCCCCGTGAAGTTGATTTTGGGTTGACTTTGGCCAACTTCGGGTTGGCTGAGTAATAACCTCAGGGGCCCACAACCCAACGACTTAACAGGGGTAAATATATAATTAGGGGTGACGGTAAACATTGGGAATAGGATACCCTTTTTCCCGGGAGATCCGCGAGATCAAAAATGTCTCCTATCCTAAAAGCTTTTTTAAATAATAAGGGCAATTTACTTTTTAACGGAGGGTTACAGGGTTTACCTTATCACTATAAGCGCAGAAGTTTGGGGTGAACCTGCTGATTCATTGAGAATTGCATATTAACAAATCCATTTACATACAGACGAAAGTTCCAACGAACAAGACAATTTTCGAACGGAAAAAAGACGCCATGATGGAAGAGAAAGCTGTATTAGAATGAAGGTCAGAGGAATCTTTCCGGTCAAGGTAAAGCTCCCTAACTTGTAATGTAAAAAAAAGCTCTTTGGTGTTTGTCTAGCCGGCGGATGTGGTTCCTAGCTTTTTCCCGTTTTCTCCTTTGAGCACCATTGCAAGAAGCTATGTAAAAGAAGGGAAGATAAATCCGAAAGTCCACGGGGTAGTAAAAGATGGCGGAGAATGGAGCGCTGAGACACAAAGGACGAAAAGAGTGAGAGTTGGAATAGCAAGAAAATCAAGAGAGGTCATTTCTGTAATCCTTTCCATCGCAGCCTGCAATCCTACAGGTCGTAAAACAAAGCCTGGCGCCCCAGGGGTTCGATGAGCTCTCCGGCGACCCACTCAAGAATGCCATTCTCGGAGATGGCGGCAGAGGTGCCGGCAAGTTTAGTTGTCAAGTGCTGAGTAATTACCTGCTGGCAGTCACTCGAACTAGGTTTGTAAACGATACGGTTGTGATCGTCGAATGCAGTAACGTCCTCCGCAAAGAACAACAAGTTGTGATATTCCTCGTCCGGAAATAGGTATTGAAAGAATCCGAGAAGCGACTCCACAACGCGGTCAAGATATTGGTTTACAAGGTCCTCGATGAAAGGGAGAACATCGACTTCGCATGGACCCGCATTCAGGGTGCGAGAAAGAACGACGGATCGGTAGTCCTCGGCATTCATGTTACGGATACCATTAACGTAAGCTGTGAAAAGTTGCTTGTCGAGCTCAACAACATCACGTCCATGTTCATCGGAGTCATAACTTTGGTTATTGACACTATACTGTTCGAAACGTTCGCGTTCGCGTTTTGACCCTTGTTTAAGGAGTGCTTGTTCGTGGAACGTCAATTCCGGTTCTCCACAGTCGTCACCATTTCCTTCTCTATTCGGGATGATGTGGACATCAAGGTTGAGGTTGAAATGAACAGACTTGGCAAAACAAATAAAGGACCCTGTTTCATCCGAATCTGCTTTCATGGAAATGATATTAGCAAGTTGGTGCAGTGTTCACACTCGTTTTTGATATTTATCTTACATTCGTTATCAGAGTCATCAACCTCATCAGCTTCATCGGATTCATCATACTCGTCAGATTCGTCAGATTCAGACTCTTCATCCTCGTTCAAATCGTCGTCTCCATCAATATCAGAATCCTCATCATTTTCTTCCTCATATTCTGTGTCAGAATCCATCAAATTGAACCCCTGTGCGCTTTGAGGTTTGAAGGTGTTTTTAAGAATGGATTTGAGGCCAATGAAGGTTGGTGTCGGGGAAGAGCAAAGCGATGACGATGATGATGACAATGGTGAATAAATGTCTATGCCTTCTGATGCAGGAGAGGATGCGACAGGGGTTTCGGAGATTGACAAAAGCTCAAGGCCTGAGGACTCGTTGCGAAAGTGAGCTCCACGGGTGCGCCCAATTGGAAGCGTTAACTTAACATTGGTGGTATCAAGTCGGAGGGTATCTCCGTCAGCTCCGGGTTGTTGTTTCACTGCATCAGCATTAGGAGGGACCATCGCATCTGTCGACAAAAGCTCGTTTTCGAGAACGGTCTGAGTGGTAGTTGAGGAAGTCATCTCCGGGAGCTACCGTTTCCGTTGAAGTCTGTTTGCTTTGAAAACGCGTCAAGTATGTGTGGATGAAGCCAACAGGAGAAATCTAATACGACTTGATAACTTCCGGGGTCGAGCAAGGAGTGTGTGGCCGGAAAGGGGCGTCTTGATTTCCAACTGTAAAATAAAGCGTCTGAATCGCGACTTTGTGTGTTGTTGATGCAATCAACAAAAACAGGAACGAAAGGAAGGATGACATATATGAAATATAATGACATACAAAATAAAAGGCTGACAAGAAGTGGTTAACGACAAATATACAAAGAGGTTAGGAATAACACTTTAAAAAAAAAGCGGCTGGGGATAGGTGAAGTGGACCGCAGATGTTAGAGAAGGTGAATAAGACAGTGGGGGCTTCCCCCAAAGTGGTGAGAAGACATCTGAACTGGAGGATAGAGTTACAACCCCAGCAGGACATCCACACCAGACAAGACGGAGTTGCAGGACATATTTAAAGGTATTCTTTGTGGGTATCTCTTCTACTGGATTAAATCTGGAAAAGTTGCGGTAATTGAGGGGAACTGGGGTCGTTGAGATTTTGAATGGCTTCAACGGGAGAGTATCCTAAAGGAGAAATTTGGACTCTGTCTCTCCAAAGAGTATTAGGTATTCCCGTTCTTCAGCCAGCAACACAATACAATAATTTTGCGTTCGCTATCGCGGTGACCTTGATGCTGAGCTCTAGGCCTCTTCTTGGAATAGGGGTGCGATAGGGCTGTCCCGTTTTGGGTGGTTTCTCGATCCAGAAACAGACGACATCCACTAAGATTTTAAAACGCAGAGCGGTTTTATGGTTTCGTATTTTTGGAGATGTTCGAATAGGAAGACAGACGAGAAGTTCTCACGCTCTCTCTCTCTCTCGGGATCCCGGTTACGTTGAACCGGATACTATGGAGTGAAGTGCTAGGTTCGAGGAATGAAGCTAGGAATCCTCGGACCCTTCTATGCGTTCACCAACTGATATATAGTAGAGTGTGGTATATGGGGCAGTTGATAGATGTATAAAGAGGCAGCGAAGTCTATGTTAAATGGTTCAAGAGGAGAGGAGATTTATTTGGTGAGAATTTGACCTTGACATTGAAGTTGGCTTGTTGATCTGTACCAGATGCATCGTGATGTTGTCTTGATTTTAGGCGCCAATCGAGATTTTGGAGCCCAAACCCCATACTGCGACGGTACCATTTTTTTTTTTAATACGTGCTGTGCAAATCTCCAGCGAAGTTTCCTTGGGCCCGTAGCTTAGCAGGGTAAGATTCGGGTAATGTGTGTCGACATTATTACCAAGATGAGATTTTTTTTTTTTTTACCTGATCTGACAACTGCCAATCATTCTGCGTCCCTGCCGGTGTTTGCTTTTTCTATCACTGATATTTTGTTTTCCTTTTTTTTTTAACACTCTCTTTAGTTTTGCTTGCTATTGTTTGAGGCGCGAAAGGACCATGGTTGGTGCAATGTGAAACCGGGATATTTCATCAAGTTTAGTGGAATTTATCCGGATAGCCCAGGTATTATATCTATCCCCAAATTTCTAACAGAAGGCCAGCCTGGGTACCTTTTGCGTATTCGTGGGGTGGTGTTGGCCTGAGACGCTTATGGTTTCCTCTGATCGACATCGTAGGGTAAGTAACTAACCACATAGCATTTGAGAAGTGTTGCCTTTTTCCGATCGATCCCCGGTTGAGCGTTTTTATTTGGGATGTCGCTCACTAACACTGATTATTGACTTTACACTGTACGCCAAAAGAGACAGATAAATATATCCCGAGAGTCTTTTATTGGCTGGAAATGTTACGGGTTCCTTCATTGTCACTTGCCAGTGAATGGGTATCACATCTTTACTACCTTCAAAATACCTTCCGTGTTGTAAAATTGAAACTTCCAGGTAATCCTACAGGCTCACAGCATATATTGACTCTGATTCAATATACGCACATTGAAATTTCATATTGAGGGGAAATTTGGATTATTATTGCAGCATACTAGCCCTATACTAAACGTCCAAAGGCCTTTTACCTAGCGTTGAACAGGTTCGTGGTTCCACCCGGTGCCTGCTCCTGCTCTCTGGGAGAATAAGTTCCTGTTCACGGCGTACAAAGAATACTACACAGCAATGTACAGGGAACAAGTAAAATAATATTACCCAGGTGCATCAAACGACGTTGGATCCAAAATGGCTGGCTCTGCCGGCACTGCATCTCTCTCCACTGATATTCTTGCCGCACAACCAACAAATTTTCCGTGCATGTACGATAACTGGAGAGCTTTGGTTTAACTCCTGTACTGTACATATTTCGCAATGAGAACATAATTGAAAGTGGAATGTAAGTATACATGTACAATTGCACAAGAATGAGGAGACAAAACGAGCTGGAAGCAACCCCAAATCAGGGGCTGATATATTCGGAGATCATGTATGTTAGGAGCGTGGGAAGGACGAACGACGTTGCGCGCATCTCCCGCGTAAGTTGGCAGCTGGCGGGGCGGGGGGGAGGGTTCTTCCAGTTTAAGTTCCATGCTAACTAGCTCACTAGTTAGCTAACTAGCCCTGGAAGGGCAGAGGAGCTGGTTACATAATCACCGACAACAAAGACAAACATCAACCTCAAAAGTATCAACTCCTCACAAAGGCCGCATACAAAAACGCTATTATTTTTGCTATAATTCCTATTCCTGCCCACATCTCTTTGACTTCTATACTAACTATTATTGCTGGGTATCCAGCTGACATCATTATCTAGCTTTTTGCTCTACCGACTGCATGGTACCATTGTTGGTTGATGAGGACGTATTCTCCTTCTCCTTTCACTGTGTGGTTGGCTCCTCGTTCTTGATGGTGCTGATGTACCCACTCTTTTTACCACCGTCAATCCCAACGACGTCCCTACAGCCCTTGAATCTGATCAGGATGGCTTGTGCTTTTGAGTTTGAATAGTCTATTCATCGGAGTTGCCAAGGGCATACAGAATGAAAGTACTACATGCCGAAATTTTTATTTTGACCCTGGAAGAGATCATCTACGCCTCGTTCATGTCCTAGTCATTGAGACAAGGATCGACGTAGCAGCGAATTTTGACTGTCTTTGTTGATTGTTGGGGAGCTGAATATCATCTTATTGCCTCATAAATGAATGGCGCTTGTGTCAAAAACGTGGAGTTGCCTTGGACCGTGAATGTGAACACTGCGTCCTTCATCCATCATCCATGAGCATGCAGTCATGGACTGCACAAAACGTGCTTCATTCCCCATTGCAGCTCTTACATTGCATGGGTGGCGTGCACAGCGGCCATTGCAACTGACTTCATACTTAATTTCTAATATCTGTGTGAAAAAAAAAAAAAAAAAAAAAAAAAAAAACCCTTCCGTGCAGAAGCCATTCCGGACTCAAACATTCTTATGAAAGGGCGAAATCGCTCCAGAATTGACTCCCGCATAGGTACGATTGGCCAGGCACCACTGGCTTGTATTCGACCCGTGTTTCCTGTCTGCTCTGTGGAGACCGTTTGGATCATCTGGCGTTTTATTATGCATCATGATACTTCCCTCCACAAATCATATCGATGAGCAGACAATTTTCCTTGAAGTTTATCTACACCCCCGTCCGTCTTTCCCAGAAATTAGTTCATATCAACAATTACCTCATATTGATTCAAATTACTTTTGGATTACAGGTCCCGTCTGGCTATCAGCGGTATCTAAACCAGTAGCCGTTGGATATATCTCGGCTGACCCCAAAAATATGCTAATTCTGGAATCCTGTTTGGGCATCTTGAGTCTGCACAGGGATTGTATTATTCTCACTAGGACCCCATCCTGTGCGACCGTAGCAGCCCCCTTTCGACCAGAAGTATGTCCTCCTTTCCATGCGTTTTTAACAGGCATTACCCATGAGATCAGGAGATCTGGGTTAAGGTTTCTTGGGGGCTTTGTTTTCTCATTTTTCATTTTATTTTTCATTTTAGTCCTCATAGACTCATTTTCCTTTGTTTTCGATGATTCAAACCCTAACGGCTTTTTATTTGACCTTCCTTTGGTGTCTCGATGCTACTGCATGGGCTTTATGGCATGCTCAAAAATAATCTCTCAAGGCTAAGAAATGCCGAGTCCACAGTGCCACAGCGACGATGGATGTCTGACCATCAAGTATATTTTGATAATAAATCATTTCAGTCAATTTTCCAGCTTCTCAGTTCAAGTTATAAAACCCACACACCCCCTCGCTTCTTCCCCTTTTCATTCTTATTTTATATATATAAAAACATGAGAACATCCAACTTCTCCTCGAATAGTGAGTTCAATCGATCCTCCTAATTAACGGGAATCCACTGAAAGTTCTATCTGGAGACCTCCAGGTCCCCAAACATTCATCTTCAATTTGTGCATTTTGCTTTGTTTTATCTTCATCGTCCTACAGTTGTTATTCACCCCTCCAAGTTTCTTGACCGTCCGTTAGATCCTCTGCCACAGGGATCAGGTAGCACTTGCGAGGTAAATACATTGTCTGTCCTTACTTCTGAGCATATAGTTTTTCTCCCTTTAGGGAAAAAAAATATATAAAGGTGCCTTCTCTGCCTCGTCCCCATAGCTAATTTTCGTGTCAATCAGGTGGAAAATCTGATGAAAACGGTCGACAAAGCCCCCACCAATCCTTTCCAGCAGATGGATCATTCATTCCATTGTATATTTACTCCTCAAACTACTATGCACACTCTGCATGATGTTGCCGACAAAGAAGCACAGGAAGTTCCCTTTTCATGTGGTGTCAGCAATCTCTTTGATGCAGGAACTCCTTGCAAAACAGGTGGCGAGTTGCAGACTCGTAATCTGCGCAATGATCTGTTATCCTTTCATCCAGATCAAGCTTTGGCAATGGATGATAGACATAATTTCGTCCCAAGCCATGGGTATGTGGAGTACAGGGATCCTAACCCCGATGTGACGGTTGTGTTCCAGCAAAACAAGGAACCTGGTCTATATACATCTGCTCCATCTTCGCCTCCCCGCAGCGCATACAAGAACGAATCGTTATCACCGTGCGGAGTTCTCAATTATGGGTTAAATAGTCCCAGAGGATCGATGCAGACACAGGATTCCCATCTGGATTCGATGCCCTTCTCAGGACAAGGAAGCGTTGCGATGGGGTACCAGAGCCAGTGGCCAAACGGTCCTCAGATCTTTAATATCCAAGCTTCAGATTATCGCGTCCCTCTCTCATCCTCATCACCACTGAGGTTTGGCCAACACGAAAACATGCCACAATTAGCTGAGCAGAACGGTGGTTTGCAGGGTAGCCACGTCGACTGGGAATCTACATATGAACATCCTGCTATGATAAACCACTCACAGTCTACGTCTATTTCAACACATTGTACAGGCCAAAGGATGAGGAACGTTTGCCTTGATCACCGGACGCCAGTAATCTCAACAAGTACGAGTCACTCCCCACCCAACCATCACATTCTGCGCTCACAACGATCAGACCCGACGTCCATGTCCTCTTGGAATACTGAACCCATTGATTTGCCCGCCTTGAACTACCCCACGGAAGGCCTTCATGGCCCTGTTACCCAAGCTTGGTGGCCAACATTGGAAGTTACCACCGACGTGCAGTCTTTCTCCCAGAGCACCCGCCAACCCATGGTCATAGCCCCAACACCGCAAAAACCTCAAACCCACCAGACCCACATAATACAAAGTAACAACATGATGATGCATTTAAAACAATCCCCCGATATGAGATCTGCGGGGGAACCACCACTTTCCTCTTCTGCATTATCCTGCCCAGAACGTATGGGTCGGTCATCATGTACACCACTAGCACCCGCACCAATGCCCATTTCGCGAACATCACCATTTGAGGACCTGAGCCAAAGACAATGCGTGCCGATATCCCACAGCCTGTCGCTGTCTCCAGCCAACATGATGTCAGCGAGCCTGCCACTTCGATCCTCGTCCACCAACTTAATCCACAGGTCGTCGAGGTCAAAGCAGCAAATATATCCGCACACTCAGCGTCAGCGAAGGGGTCACATCCGCAAAGCTTCCAGTCTCTCCACAAATTCCTTTAGGGGCACTAAAGGGGAATCTACTATTCCAACCAACACCTCACACCCAGCTGCGAAACCTCCAATGATCATCTCTTTTGTAAACTACACCCCCGAGGATAGTCAGAAACTTTTAACTGGCGTGGCTCCCAGCGGAAGCTCGAAGACCAAAGCTAGGAGAGAACAAGAAGCGCGCGATAAAAGAAGACAGCTCAGCGAGGCAGCTTTACTAGCAGTTCTGAGAGCTGGTGGGGATGTTGAAGGACTTGAAGCGGTTTTCAGCTAAGAGTGCAAGTGGATAGGATGACGGAACGAACTGTTTCCACTACAACTTATAACGATTATGTGCACATGAAGATGAAGATGAAATATATACACCAGAGGTATGAGAGATGCTTTTCCTACCCATTTCCTCCCCTTCCTTTCCTCCAGTATAATCTCCATTTACCGCTTCCCCTTCCCCTTAGCCAGAACAAATTAAGTAGATATTTACCCTTCATTTTCGACCCCCCGTTTTTTTGGCTGAAATTTTCATTATGCATATAAATGAGTTCACGGCTTTTTTTCTTTTTAAGTTTATCATCAATTGCTTTGTCCCTTTATCTCCTGGTTGCCCATTGTCCCGAATGTTTGGCATTTTTTTTTTTTTTTTTCAGTTTATCATCAATTGCTTTGTCCCTTATCTCCCTGGTTACCCATTGTCCCGAATGTTTTTCATTAGCATTGCAGGCATGTTACATCTCGGTACATCACTGATCACATGACTAATAAGGTGAATATCAGCCTGCTGACTACTTAAAACAACCTCAATAGAAGCACCTTTATATGAATATAAGTGCTATTCGGTCACATTCATATATCTGTAGTGAAGAGGAAATGAAATGTTGCAGCTGCCAGCCAGCTGTTTTTATATAAATGTAGATTTGTAGTAGTTAGATTGTTCTTTTGCTTAGTAGTAAGGTAGCGATAGAAGTATATATATATCAAGTCATCAGAAGTGCAAGATATCATCAAAGAAGCCATGAATCATAGTTTATTAGCTGACTGCAAAAGAAAAACAGAGAAAAACAGTCTAATATTGAGATATTTATAGAAAATAAACTAAACAAATACTTTTATTCTGAGATGTAAGAAGAGAATGTCCACTCATGCTGTCGCAGAATCAAGGCAATTGAATGAGGTTGTACATGCCTGTCACTGGAGGAATCCTGGATTATAATGGCCACCTCAGAGGATGTTGAAAGGTTCTCACACCTTCAATCTCCACCTGCCTCCAGCTGCAAATTATCATTCAATTGAATGTAAATGTGTCTAAATTTTCCCTCAACATTTCAAACTCGGCCTGATACAGAGGGATATAAGAATTGATATACGAAAGGAAAGCAGGTCAGCAGCTAACAGAAAAGAGAAGAGAGATAAAAAACAGACTGACTGCAGACTGTCACACAGATGCTGCAATATATATATATAAATATACTTAGCAGGTTACTTGTGACATCACACCTGATTTGAATGCTCTGTCAAATTTTGATGAGGGTGTCAAGAAATAGAGAGATTTGATGCCTGATGTCAAAGCTCCCCTGGATGCTCCCCTTTATTCAATGAAGCACTAGATCCTTTGACGAAGCTATCTGAACACCCTTGGATAGCTCTTAATATTCAGTAGACAGATGAACAAATATCACAGAATATGAAATCAACACCGAATAACTAACCCACTGAACCAACCAAATTGTGCGAATCAACTAGTTAAACTCTTTCTTTTTCTCTGCTTCCCCCGTTTCCGCCACGGTTACACATGGTCCTGCATTATTGAGACATGCAACCGTAAGACCGCCCACATACAGCCCGTTTCTCGCCGGATCCACATCAGACTCGCCGCTCTGGAATCACAAAACAACATAATACCTGAAGTCTTCGAGATAATTATATAACCCCTTTTCTTTCCCAACACGTCAGGCTCATTTCACGCACTGGGGTACTTCCGCTGTGCATATAATTAATGGCGTGTTTCGAGAATTCCGGGTGGGCATACAACCCAACTTGCCAATATCTGTTAGGCAATGCACGAAATGCACACACTGTTCGTAGATTCAGGAATTGTTATTAGTGTTAATATGTCACGAATTGTTGAAATTGTTGTTGGCCATTGTTTTCAAGTTAGAGGATGGGTAACATAACACGCCGCGGAAGATACAACGATCTTACATGGCTTGTGGAGTTGTATCTATCTTTTTATTTTGGTAAATAAATGCATGGATGATGACAGTCTTGCATGTCGGTTAAAAAACCCAACAAATTTTATATCGCAGATGCGTATCTCTGGTAATTGAGGGAAACGTATCCAGTAGCTGCAAGGCAGCATCGAATAATAAGACTGTATTTTGATACCGAGTTATCATTAGTTAATGTACAGGGATTAATATACATTGTGAGAGAAAACCCAAGAAAAAAGAGGCAGCTAATTTCACCTTATCCAACGCCATATTTCCTATCCATCGCTAAACGGCTAAAAGAACCTCCAAACTGATATTGGGGAGAAAAATGGCGTAGCTGGGTAAAATTTGATCCACCATTCCTTGGACATCTTTTACGTTCCGAAACGTGGATCGTAATATCCATTTTAGCACGTCGTTGCTGTGTTGCCACAGGATGTTGCCCAAATATGCAAAATTGGAATTGCGAGATAATTGGGTCAAAATATTTGGCTGAAGCACTGCGTGGAGCAAATCCACATCAGGCATCAATGACAACTGGAAGTGGTCATTCTTCGCAAAAAAGAGTTCATCTCCAGCCCAAGCATCAAGATAGCAGTTAACCTGCCATCCAAGCATAACCCTCCTCTATCTGCCTTTCAAAGTTGGTGTCCACGATTCAGGTTGCCACTGCTCGCTTGGCCCACCGGTTTGTCGCACCCAAGGGGCCTTCTCCTTTACATCTTGATTTTTAAACTCCGCCCCTGACTCATCTGGGCCGCGCACGGTTTCCGTTCTGTTAGGTGGGGAGGCGTTAGAGTGATGCAACTCTTGGAAGGATTGCATCGCAGGGCCCAACTGATGTTCCTGTGGTTTATCAAGGAATGACGGCTTGCTAGCCCATCGCTCATCTGCGAGCCTGGCGAGATATTTCATGCGTTCTTGACGGAGGAGATCGTTTTGTTGCTCTTGTATCGTTGGTGGTTCTTCCCGAACATGCCGAAGCCATTGATGCCATTGTGCTGGCATTTCCATGAAAATTAGCGGGATGTATCCATAGTCAAGCTGATATTTTATCGAGTTGTAAAGAATACACTTGATGTGGAATTTAGAATGAGATGGAGATAGACCTACGGGAGACCTTCACATCAGCAAGGTGCGTTTTCGGATTGAATTTCACGATTCGCCGGAGTCGTTTTGCATTGAGAGCATCCTTAAACTCCCAAAAAGTGTTTCCCGCCAGATCACTTCCTGTGAATTATCAGAAGAGTCCCCTATATCCCAATAAAACAGCCGTCAAGGAGCTGGTTTCTCGCAAAGTTCTCGGGGTAAATAACTACCTGCAAGAAAGGTCCTGCGCCAGGGAAGCTTCAGGCTTTTCCACTTGAACCAGAGGCTATTTATAGGGCTCATTTTAATGATCTAGTCGCAACATACTCCATACATATTCCTGATATCGAACACCTATATAAGATCCAGGTATTTGCTATCATAACATTGTATGCAAAAGTGGTGGGGGAATCCAAGACTCTGGTGGTCGTTAACGATGGTTGGTGGCGGTGTCGCGCTGATGGCATCACCAACCAACCTAAAAACTCCACCCACGTCGTCATTCATTTCTCTAGCGTAACGAATCCCGCGTCACTCATCAACTCGCCTTGACGACACAGATTAAAGGGCAACACTTCCATCAACCAGTGCGCGACCATGGCCAGTCTCCAACAATTCAAAAATATATTAGTTTTTCACTTCATATGATATAAGCTCGTAGCGCGCAATTCATTTATTCCGTAGCGTGGATGTGTCTGTTGAGGATCCGCCGCGCTTCACATAACTACTGCCCACGTTATATTGCCTGGGTCGACTAGGTAATTATATCTTCATCGCGAGCTCTTTTACAGCGCAGAAGACCGCCAGGATTCATCATGGCGTCTGTTTCGTCGTTGGATAAGGATCTGCGAAGTATGCGGCTATCTCGGTATACTCCCCAGGCAGCCAATGAAATACGGGAGTGGATTGAGGAGGTGCTTCATGAGAAGTTACCAAAGGGAGACCTACTAGGACTTCTGAAGAGTGGAGTTATCCTATGTCGGCAAGTTTACCGTAAAATCCTACCCTCTGGGGGATTTTTCTGGGCTCTCTACTAACAGAACTCCTCCTCTAAGTCTTATCAACCTCTCCGTGTCTCCAGGTGTCAAATACAGGGACTCGAACATGCCTTTCGTTCAAATGGAAAACATATCTCATTTTCTACATGCATGTCAAGTCCCCCCTTTGAGCCTCCAACCGCACGACGTCTTTCTCACTGTGGATCTCTACGAATCGAAGGATCCAGCTCAGGTGCTACAATGTTTACGTGCCTTTAGCAGGAGAGCCAACGCACTTCAACCAGGGAGGTTCCCACGATCAATTGGCATGAAGAATAGGGGCGATGTAATGAGTCCTCAACTCACTGGGTCTAGTCAAGGTACCAGCCTTGGATCGCCATCCTACACTCGAGGGAGGGGTGTTAGTAACGCGAACGAACCGAACTCTGGCACGTTTAATCCGATTGGAAGGCTTTCTGCCTCTGGACAGAACAGCCCCTCGAAAACCCACTCTGGGCCTGCATCGCCAAAACATGCTGTTAGTGCTTGGATCAATAAAGAAGAGGAAAGCACCACGACGCCAGCGTGGAATATACATCAATATGGCTACATGGGAGGCGCAAACCAAGGCAACCTTGGAATATCCTTTGGTGCAAGGCGACAAATCATCAGTCCGGCCCCAGATGTGCCCACCTTGGCGGAGAAAGAGAGGAAAAGACGAGAAAAAGAGGCCGAAGAAGAAAAATTAAGGCAACAGCGAGAAGAGGAGGAGTGCCAACGACAAGCAGAATTAAAAGCAGAAGAAGAGCGTGCTAGGGCTGAAGAGGAATCTAGGTGGCAGGAAGAGACGCTGAAACTGAAAGAACGAGAGCGGCGAGAGGTGGAAGAAGAGAAGAAAAGATGGGCGGAAGAGCAGCGCAGGTGGGATGAAGAAGACAATCGTCGACGCCTGGAGGACAAAGCAGCGGAAGAGCGACTGGAAAACGAACGGCTGAGGAAGAAAGAATTTAGTGACGCCCGGCTGAATGGCCAATTCCTCAGTCAGTATCAAGCATCGCAGTTCAAGACATCCGTTTCAGCATCAAATGAAAGTGAGCGCATAAAACAACTTGAAAGGGAGCTTGAACTCGCCAAGGAAAGAGAGCGTCGGTATGAGCGTGAGCGGGAGGAACTTGCTCGTTCGCGTAACACGCAGCAGGAAGGGGTGGATCCGCAGACAGACCGATCCCGGAGCCACAGCCGTGAACGACACACTCTGGTAAAGCCAAGCTACGACGCATCCTCCCTGGAGGAAGAACGCAAATTACTTAGATCCGAATGGCAGTCCTATAACGACCGTGCTCCCTCCAGCGAACCTTCTCCGCCTGCGTTAGCTCCACGCTCTCTCCCCGAGCCACCGGCGAAACCGCCGAGAAATACGAATCCCCCGCCTGCGCCTCGCCCTCTACCTGATCCGACAAGCTACGTCAATAAAAACCGAATTGACCGCTTCTTAGCTGAAAACAGGGCCCCTGAACCTCCCCGCCCAGCGTCTCACAGACCCCTTGAGTTTTCATCAAGCTCAGAAGTTGATGAGGAGAATGCCAGACGGGTTGCTTCAACTCAAAAGACACGAGCCGGAGGCTGGGCGTCCAAGTCGCTGCTTGAGCGCGAAATGGAACGAGAACGCGAACGACAGCGAGAGTGGGAAGAGAGCCAGAAACAAACCAAGGAGGCCGTAGACCGAGGGGTTAATACTGCGGGCACAGGGCCTGGGCAGGGTGCGTGGGATGTCAACCAATATGGCTATATGGGTGGAGATAATCAGAATCGTGGTGGACCTGGACTGTTTGGAGGTGCACGGAGACAAATAATTGGACCCCGTCCGCCTCCTTGAATTTTCAATTTCCTATTGCTGGGAATTATGGAAGCGTCATAAACCGCCTCAAACATATTCGTCAGTACATTTCACCAGTGCTACTTTTACTCGACGTTGACTGACATCCTCGCGTAACTATTTCTTTTTTCTTTCTTTCTTTCTTTTTTTTTTGTTTCATTTCATTTCATTTCATTTTTTTCTTCTTGAGTTTGTTTTGTTTAAAGAGATTTTAGAACATTATATGAATAACTCTTGTTGATTTTAGCTTAATTTACATTTGCCTTCATATCTTCTTCTACTAACATTCGATCCGCAAATGCTAATTTGATTATAGAGAGAGTATGTTCTGAATTTAAATAACATTTACTTACCCTTGTGTATTTAACCCTTCGTTTCATTCCGTTCCTGCTTCGCATCCTAGAGAATTGCAACACCCCAATTCCTTATAGCGGACAAAGATACTATGCATACCTGGTTTTCTTTCTTTCTTTCTTTCTTTCTTTCTTTCTCTTTTACTACTAAGAAATGAAGTCTGATGGAACCTTGAAGCAAAGTCGTACGGAGAATTTAGACAGGAGGCACCTGTGAGAAGCTTCGGGCCAGTGCGACATGCATTATGCGACTCCGAATATAAAGTTTGGGGGTGATTTATAAAAACCGTGCAAATCTGCTGTAGGAAAAATTACCAAGGCCTTTGGGATATCATTTTATACCCGCTGAGGCTGGAAAGTCACTCCCTTTAGCTAGCGTTAGCCGGGCAGGAAGACTCGATAATTGGATTTTTCGAGCATCTCCAAAGTTTGTTGATGATGTCTGTTACAGCCAAGGCAGTATTCAGGAGTAGTAGAGCAGAGCCTTTGTCTCTTACAAGCGACCGGCAGGCAATTTATTCCTTTTAGAGTCTAATCTTCTAGCCGTATTGGTTAAATTCACATCTCTTAATAGTAATCTCAGCGTGTGACCAATGTCACACTTCATGCCGTCCTGAATTTATCGTTGCGGTTCCCCGAGGGAAATTAAGCTAGGTGATGGCTAAGAAGATGATAAGAGAGGTGTTATTAATGGTGTTGAGGAAATTCAATCGCTGAGAGTAAACAGCTGATAAATTATTAACTAGTAGAGATGTTAGCACAAAAAATCGTTGACAGAATCAACACGTAGGAACCGAGAGGCTCACATCGAGCTTGCAAGTCAACTAACTATTCCCTGTTTACTCACCTCACGTTTGACACCAGAGGCAAAATGAGTAAAAATCTCCCCTTCTCACCCCTGGATATTTCAAAGACAAAACGGAACAGGGGGAACCGCTCCAAACATCTCAATTAACTGGCAGTCAAGGGCTGACTGCCACGGATTGTGTCAAAAATGGGCCGGAGTTGAAATCGAGCATCCAGGGTGGAAACAGGCTCTCGTCTAAATGCCGCCCACGTACGCTCTGGTGCCGATACAATGATACTCAGGCTACCTAAGTAGATTGACTATGTATAGAGAGACTGATTTCATTCACTCCAGGAAGTAAACCTGTCACGTTACGGGCCTCTACGTCGTCATTAGCACTCCCAGCAAATTAGGTGTCTTATCGACTGACGGAGTCAACGATGGCTCACAGCCTTCGATAGTCAAAGTTGACTTGGCAGTGCGCAAAAGTTTGAGATCAGGTTTGTAATGACACGAGTTCCCGTACGCTAGAAATCCTGCGATGCACGTCTTGGAGCACCGGTGCGGTTGTGGTATACGGTGAAGAATGAGGATATTCCGCCAGTCAAGTTCAACTAGGCTCCTAGCACTGATTGAGTTGGATTCGTACGATGCAAATGAGAACAAAGGCCCAAGGAGTTCTAGGAGATTAGACGTTGACATTCCGGATTTGAGGACATCCGGAATTGTTAAATTCTGGATCCTTGGGCGGGGAGCATTCGTCTTTACCTGAATCGTGCCCTGGTATTTCATACGCATGAGCCTTGTAGAACTCCAGTGTGCCAATTGCAGTTAGTTCAAACAAGATCGACATTGCTGTGTACCGGGCCCGCCGCAGACAGGCTAGAGGGCTATGGCGATCACTCTGCTATGTGTATACATATGTGTATTATCATTGCGATCTAGTGTTGGTGTTGCAAGTTGTAATTAGCTCCCGAGGGACGCGAGAGATTGAGGTTGTTTTCAGCTTCTGACCTAGTTAACTGGGTTTGGGACAAGCAGCTCCGGCTCTCGTGTGTTCCAAGGCCTTGATCTGTCAACGTTCCTATTAAAGGGGAAACCTTTGATGCGTCCTGGTTCCTGGTCGTTCAATTTGGACTGCGCCACGAAATAACTAGTTAGTTAACTAATGTAATCCACCCCCGAGCGAACCACCAAAATCATCATATTTCAACTAGCTAGAATTTAACCCGAAATATCCATACCAACAATGCCTTATTAAATTAATTTACACTAGAATTGGGGCATCTTGTTCTCTTATGATCAGGCAAATTGCAATTGCTGCACTGTTGTGGAACTCCTGAGTGTGATTGAGGTTCTGCAGATGGAGGCACAAGGGGTTGAATGACTGGCTGTTCAATGAGTGCAGCAGCTGGAATAGCAAGCTGAGTAGCTTCCTGTCTGATTAAACCTTCTTCCTGTTGCATTCTTTGAGCAGACCTCTTGTGTTTTTGCTTCTCTTTCTCATTTGCATTGAATATATCCTGATATTGCTTCTTCATAATAGTGATGTTGACCATCCCATATTCACAGATCTTGATAATTTGATCAAGGTCTTCCACTAAACCTTGAGACTGCTGACTCTTCATAAAGCTTTTGATCCTCTTGATCTGCTGTTGCAATTTCCACAGGTTGCTAGGTGTTTGAAGCACTGAGAATGAGATTGAATTGCTTGATCTGCTGGCTAGGGAGGTAGGAGTTCAGAGTTGAATATCTAGCTGCTGAATGACCTGATCTGGTTCAAATGACATTATACCAGTAGCTCTGAAGTCACTTTGAATGTTTTGAGCTTTAAAAGCTTCCATATGCACTGCAGAGTAGGCATCTAGAAAGTCTGTCTTCTTAATGATATTGAATTCTAGCTGCATTCACTGTTCAACAAGACTGCTGTACACATGTTTCAAAACTGCAAAAACACTCACATCTAGTGACTGCAAGAGATGTGAGGAATGTGCTGGCATGCAGAGAGGAATAATCTTATTCTCCTTGCAGATGTAGTCAAATTCTGAGGTAAGATGACTGCCATGCTCATCCAGGATAAGAAGAAGATAAGTGTCAATTCTGCATGCATTTGCAGCAGGAATAAACAGTCTAGTAAGTCATTTAACTCCTATCTCATCTGTAGTCCAGTCATTAGGGCTAGCATCAAGCCTCCAGCCATCTGGAAGCCCATCAAACCAGCCTTCCTGTAGCTTCTGACCCTTAAGAATCACATATGAAGGCAAGGCCCAGCCTGACATGTTGACTGCCTCAATCACAGTCATCCATTCTCAATTTCCAGGCTGTAGAAGCTTTGCCCAGCCATAGCACTCACTACTAGTAATAACCTTAGTAGTGACACAGAGCCTCATTGCAAACTCAGTCACATCAAAGTTGTATATATCTTCAGAAACAATCTCATGCTCAGCAATTGTATCCTTCAAGGTCTTAAACCAAGTCTGAATAACTCTTATATCCTCACATTTAGCTCACTCATGATTATAGTGTCTGGAATAGTGGCAATGAAGCTCTGCACAGTGTTTAATCAGCTTGCAGATCCAGTTCTTGTCAACCTGGGGAGCAGAGGTTGAGATGGAGGTTGAATGCTGGAGTTTAAGAAGATGATTGGCCATATTCTCAACAAATGCTGGCTGAGAGAGTATTCCTTGTTTTGCCAGATCTAGAATTCACTGAACTAGCTGATTCTCTTCAGACTCAGTTAATTTGATTGAATTTGTGCGTAGATTCACGTGTGCAGGTCAGCCGTTAAGTCAATGGTGTAGGATAGCATATGGGACCTCATGAAGACATGCAGCTTCACAAATTGAGGTAATTTCATTATTTTTTAAAGCTTTTATTGTGAGTTCAATTCTTCCCTCTATTTCTATAGAGTTTCTGACATTTTTATTGCGAATTGGTGGCATTCTCACGCGTTGAAGTGAGTGGGTTAGAAAGTTGAAGCTTTTTTGGATTTGACGGTTCGCTCGGGGGTGGATTACGTTAGTTATGATTTGATAGTTTGTCATCATTTCTCCTCTGTAGGATATGGCGAATTTCTGCAAATGCAATGCATGAAACATCTATCGTAGATCCGGATCCAAAGAGTTGATTGAACTGCTAAGATAACCGAATGCCGGCGAACTTTTTCCGCACCGACTGACTTTTAACTTATCCATGGATCTACGGGTTTGACTCTTGATATAAACCACTCGGCCCAAAGGGACCACCAAAACACCAGAACCTCCAAGGATTATCCACATTTCTTACATCATGACAATAGCCTAATTGTCTCATCCGTGTGTGTGGAGGTGATTTTTACATCACAATATCAGGTATAGCGATTGATGACCATTGCACTGTTATCAAACACAGCGTATATTGTTATTTATAAGGGGTACAATGCGGAGCCCAGCGAGATATTTAAATATCAGAGCTTCCGGAATAAAAATTTCTAAGTTTGTCACTGTATCGAAAGGCAGCTACTTTTGCTCGATCCATCCAATGGCTGATATCCGAAGTCCAATCCGAGTTGGCAACCTTACCTTGGCGCATCGCGTAGTTTTGGCTCCATTAACGAGATATCGAGCGGATGACAATCACATCCCCCTTCCATTCGTCAAAGATTACTACGCACAGCGAGCTTGTGTCCCAGGCACACTGTTGATCACGGAAGCCACATTTATTTCTCCCCGTGCAGGAGGATTTAACAATGTTCCCGGCATATATAATGATTTGCAAATAAAAGCGTGGAAAGAGGTTACCGATGCAGTCCATGCCAAGGGCTGTTTTATTTTCTGTCAACTGTGGGCTTTGGGCCGGGCAGCAAAACCTCAGGTCCTCGCTTCTGAAGGCTATCCTGTGGTTTCTAGCAGTAACCTGCCGATTTCCGAGAAACACGCTGTCCCCGAGCCATTAGACGAAAAGGGCATCCAAGAGTTCATTGGGGACTACGTTCAAGCAGCAAAGAATGCTGTCGAGGCTGGATTTGACGGGGTTGAGATTCACGGGGCGAATGGATACCTTTGCGATCAGTTCACACAGGATGTTTGTAACAACCGCAATGACCGCTGGGGAGGAAGCATTGAGAATCGATCAAGATTCGGCCTCGAAGTGGCTAAAGCAGTTGCAGCAGCCATTGGAAGTGACAAGTCTGGGTATCGGATTAGCCCCTGGAGTCGATTTCAAGATATGAGGATGGCAGACCCCCGGCCGCAGTTCACCTACCTTGTTCAGAATCTAGCGAAGATAGGATTGGCATATTTGCACGTGGTAGAATCCCGGATCTCGGGATCGTACACTGTTGAAGAACCACCAGAGAGCATAGAATTTCTTGTTGATGCGTTCGACGGTGCTGGGGCAATAATTCTTGCTGGAGGATTCACTGCGCAGTCGGCAAAGGAAGCTGTCAAGAGCCATAAGAACCAGCGCATTGCCATTGCGTTTGGCCGTGACTTCATTCCGAACCCAGATCTGCCGTTCCGGATCTTCAATAATATAGATCTCACTCCATACGATCGCGAAAAGTTCTATACCCCGAAATCTACCGTTGGTTATATCGATTACCCCAACAGTCCAGAGTATGACGCTTGGGCAAGCTCAAAAACTGGTATGTCTGTGACCCCAAACTAGCGGTGATTGAATAAATAACGCATTTTATCGTTCATCCCACTTCATTTAAGTATATACATACTATGCTACCATTACATCCGTGGCAAGCTCAAGGATATCCATGGCACAACAACATTAGTTGATTTTAAGGATAAATTTTACATATTTCATCTGAGTTATCCCACTTGTGATTGCGTAAAATGGAGCAAGCCAAAGAGAATAACGACACAATGTCAAAACTCAAATCTAGAAGAGAGGCCTGTAAACCGGAACGGAGAAGAAAAGTCTAAGAATTATCAAATATAAAATGGGAAAGGAAAGGAGAAAAGAAATCAGATGATAGACCTGTCGCAGATCCACCACGGTGCTGCAAGAGCTTAATAATGAAGAAGTCGAGGTTAACGGCATTTTACTGAAATTTGTGGATGAAAGTATATATATATATATGTATCTACCTGCGTAAACCGAATAAGAGATAGTAGGGGGTTTAGCCTTACTTAGGAAATCTACTATATTTTACTGACTTTACAAGTTTTGGACAACACATTAAATATGCTATCAGGCGTCTAGCCACAACACTTTTACCACCTCCCCTCTCCCGCTGATACTGGAGTAAAGTCAGGAGACTTTGCGCCTTTAGCAAGCTTTTTGGCTTGTACATGCCTCTGTTGCCCCTTGGTCTGCTGGGCGCGGACATCGCACGACATTCCGCTCTGTTCAAGACCCGTGGGAGTCATTTCAATATGGAGATATCAGAACAGGTTGTGGTCTTGTCATGAACCCTAGGGTTGAAGACGTAAAGGGGTTAATGATCAAGCAGACTGTGATCTTGTTTTTACGTACCTCCTGCTGTCGCTAAATGAATTATTTCCCACTCGTCAATCCTTCACCCTAGATCACCAAAGTTCGCCGACCATCACCATTGAAGCAGTGACGCGAGAGAGGCAGAGTTGGGCAACGACCCTGCTTAGTAAGTGGTTGAAGTACGGTTGTGTGTATCAGGAAGAACCATTTTCCACTTCCTATAACCATGTGTGATAGAAAAGAGGATACATGTGGTGCTAAAATACACCAACGATTGAATCTGATGGGAGGATGGGGTGTAAAACAACGGGGATAAAGATTCTTTGGCAATCTGACAAAGGTATATCCCGCTCTTCCTCCTTTCACCGATATCTCAGACCAAAGCCATGACCTTCTGATTGCCTGTTTTGAATAGTGACGAAATGAAGGCATTAGGGAAAGGTACGTTAGTCAGACAGCAGGTGGCTTCGGTGCAAATACCAGAGGGAAAGCTGAATATTCCAAATATCGCCCATGGAAAGTAGAGGGAGAAGCCTAATACCAAATAGTATATTAATTCACGTCCTCTTTCCTTCGTTTTCCTTCGACATTACTTTGTTCACCAGATAATGCATTCTTTCGCCACTTTCAACGAGCCAAATCCAACCAGATTCTTCCATTTTCTGTTTACCTTGGCTCTTTCTGGTGTCGGTCTGGCATTTTTCACTTCTGGCCACAATTCCTTCTTCGATTGCCCTTTGCAAAGAGGGACGAACATGCAACATGCCATTGGAGGCTAAGAGCCGTAGGGTGGTCTCAAGTAATATCGAAACTTTCGCATTGTCGACGGAACTATTCGTATAAGCCGCGTAGGGAAGAAAACAGGTCTCCAACTTAGCCTGGCTCAGGTACTGCTCCATCGAACCAGGATTGTTGTCTAGTAAACGAAGAAGGATCATCTCGCACAGGGTAGTTCGTGCGTCATCTGTGAAACTCGACAACACCGGCGATGATACTAAGAGCTGAAATGTAGGAAGGTCCAGCGAACGGACGAATTCCACGAAGAGAAGATATAGCTTATCCAATTCCATGTAAAGATTCCCGAGAGAGTTGGAGACTCGGGACAAGAGCTGCATAAGACGCTGCCTGAGAGCGAGTGAAGCGAGGTCGCCGAGCTGCGAGACATTGCCAGAATGCCCCACGCCCGAACCGCTGTACGAAGGATCCATATTAAGATCGTCAGTCGAAATCAAAGAAAATTCTGGTGCTCGAGTTCTCGGGCGTTTTGGCCGAGAAGGCTCGGTTTCTCTCGTCGTGTATGAGTCGTTGTCTTCCTCCTCAGCATCATCATCCTCGTCCTTTGAGAGGTAGTCTCCGAATTCATCTTCGTCGACATTCACATCAGCCTCACGTCTTTTTAGATTATCTTTACCCTTTTCGGGCTCCTTTAGTTCGTTCCGAAACACCTCCTTGAACTCGTTTAACGACGGAGGTTTCCCGTCTGCAAAGACAGCTCGCATGATTCTTCGATGGTGGCCAGATACTACTGATGAGCCTGAGATATACTTGAAAATGAGACTATCACGGAGAAGCGCATGGCCAGCAGTTGGTGTTGCCGTCCCATCACTTGAATTGTTGGCCAGTCTTTCTCTCTCCGCCCAATCGTCTTCCAACACGTCACACATGAATTCTAACCAGACACGCCATCTCGACCATCGTTTCGGAAAGAGAACGGCGCAATTAAACGCCCACCCTACAGCATGCCAAAAGTCCTCAGATCGAAACCAAAGAGATCCACCTCGAGCAATATCCACCCTCATGGGAACCGCATCAAAATCTGAGGATGAACCGTTTGCAGAGTCGTTATGACCATCTCCGCGTCGTTGGCGCCCATTTCGCGACGATGAGAACCGCGTAAAAGCAAAGGCAATGTCGAATTTTGCAGCTAATGGCCCTACCAGTTTATTCGTAAGACGTAAGAGCTCTAAAGCAGTATTTGCAACCTGAACACTCTCCAATGACTTTACTCGAGTTGTTGTGGAAGGGTGGACGATGAGAGTAGCTGCAACGGCAAGGTGTTGAGGCGACGGTATTAATGCGGGGCCCGATGCAATGGTATTTGACGAGAGAAGACTTAGAAGGAGATGAAGAGCTTGGTGAACTTGCGAGAATACATGCTCTGTTAGTTACTCGCAACGATGTTTTCTAGTTGAGATGTGGCGAGGAGGCTCACAGCCCTCCGCCCTCAACACCAGGGTTAGGGATAGGTGAGAATTAGGATAAGGGTGCGTGCTCACAAAGCTTTTCTTCGAAGTAGATGGTGCAGTGCATGTGTAACTGGAAGGGGACAGACTTAGCCGGTCGGTATTTTGGAGCTGGCCCCTCTCCTGGAGCCTCCTTTTGAGTCTCCATAACCCTGGATTGTTGAGTTACAATTGCGACCTAACTACACACATGTTCGACGCAACTCGTTGACGCGGGTGCATATCTTCGGATTGGCGGGCGATTGGCGCTTACGGCGTTAACTCATCATCACTGAAAGCTAGACTAAAGTTGGCCTAGGTGGGGCCTGAGCGATTTCCGCATCCTCCAAGCCCAACCACAGCTCATCTCTTCAGTGTGTGTAGTTTCATCCGTTTTGACGATACCTGCTGGATGCACATACAATCAAGACCCCCCCCCTCTTCTTTTAAAACTGTATCCCTGAAACTAGGTTTTCTTTTTCTTATTTTTTATTGTCTTTTCTTTTCTTTCTTTCTTTCTTTCTTTCTTTCTTTCTTTTTTTTGGTTTCTCGTTTAATGCTCCTTTTCCGCGCCATGTCTAATGTTGGTGGCTCCTCATTACGAACATGGAGGTTCTCCCCGCTCCATCCTGAGGCAGGTATAAATGGTCAGAAGTCGACTTTGCAGGGCATTGTATTTGATGTGGATGGGACACTATGGTATTTATATAAATTTCTCCAATCCTCTTTAATACCTTCATCCAAAATCGAACTAGCAAAAATGGGAGGTTTTAGTTGATATCAATCATCCGTATACCGGGCCTGAGACCCCATTTAGTCTGACCAACATTAGTCTACCGCAGAATTACATGTTCCAAGAAATGCGGTAGGATTCATAACTATCCATTTCAAAAATATATCGAGAGTTCCCCTAAGTGACAGACGACGTCCCTTTTCAGCTCCTGGTTAGGAATTGATAAATCAGTTGATATCATCGGGCACATCCGAAGCTTGCCAACATTAAAGGACCGCACTGCTGCCATCACGAAAGTTAGGGAGATCGAGCGGGAAGCTATGGTCAAGCAAGTGCCTCAGCCGGGTCTTGTAGAACTGATGGATTATCTCCATTCAAAAGGGTTGAAACGGGCGTTATGCACACGGAATTTCGTGTAGGTGCCTTGTCTCAGCCAACATTCATACCATGCCCCCTTCCCCTTAATATCCCCTCAATTGCTACGGCTATGCGGTCGTTCAAGGGTGTTTGCTCTACCGAAAACCAATAGGCTATTCATCCGCCTCTCAAGTGATAGCTGCTGCTTGCTTACGCCTTCAATAGAACACCCGTAGAACATTTTCTCAGAACTCACCTCCCAACCCATCAGTTTTGCCCTATCATTACTCGTGATACCCCGGACTTGCTTCCCAAGCCAGATCCAGCGGGTATTTTACATATAGCAAAGGAATGGGGAGCCAACGCTGAGGATTTAATCATGGTACGTCTAATTTAATCTCGTTTCACTCTCGTCATCTCCTTCATCCCCCCCCCCCCCCCCCTGACTACCATCCCTTTCGTGTATACTCTCAAACCCATGCGTATAATGACCGTATCAAGAAGAATGATATTGTAAATTTTAATTTGGAAATCTCTCTATAGGTCGGAGACAGCCTCGACGACATGACTGCGGGCCACTTGGCAGGCGCCGCCACTGTCCTGCTTCTCAATGACCAAAACCAATCCCTGAGAGACCATGACCATTCCAATTTCTGTATCCGGCGCCTAGACGAGCTGATCTCAATCTTGGAGAATGGGGTTGCGGATCTCAAGGAAAATTAGTACCAAGAACGAAAATGGAGGTGTGACTATATTTTGAAAATATTTACCCTGAATATAGAACCCTACATCTCAGTTCCGAGTGACTGGTTAGATATAGATAAACCATCAACCTTGTTAAATTTAATATCCATAACCTCTGATACAAGATCAGCACATAAAATATCCGAGAAAGTAAAGTCGGGGGATAGAATGGTCGGACAGCCGGATACGTTTCTTTGTTTTAAAAATACAGCACTCGAAACTAGAAAAGATTATGCATACAGGTAATATAGACTAGTATACATCCATTCCATATATTCCAAACATAAACCCACAAGGTTGCTAAGAGGTATCTCAACAGAAAAGAAAGGAATAACAGAGCCTCCAGTTTTTCGGAAACGCCAAGTTGCCATCACCAACCATCATGAGAAAAGTGAATTCACACCTCAATTGTTTCAAAATCTATGTTGTTCCCACGCCTTCTTAGCCGTACTAGGCATGTGTCGATATGTCTCCCTATTTGAACCGCCTTTGACTCCTCTTCCCCGGCTTCGGGGACCACCACCACTTCTACCCTTCCCACGACCAGCTGTTTGTTGAGGAGGTGGCCCTCGTGGGCGTGGCGGGGACCTTGGCGGCGACAGAGAGTGAGATCTATCCCTTGAATGCCAATTACTCTTCCGGCACATCTGTCGTGGTAAGGATCGATTAGGCGAGAGAGAGCGTTGGCGTGTACTGCTATCGTGATACTGATCCCTGTCTCTATATCCACGGCGATAATCATTGGTGTTATATGAACCGTTTCCGGAAACTTGGGGACGTCGCGTATCATCATCAAGATTCCTCCCGCGTCCAATTCCATTGCTGAAACGAATGCGACCGCGTTGTGGGGAGCGGGTTAAGGGGTTCCAATTATCCGACCGTCCGAAAGCTCCATCACTTTCAGGTGACGGTGACCACCCGTCAGCACGGCCTCTAACCTTGTGCCCAGACGAACCCTGGTTTTTATTTCCCCTGCCATAAATGACATCATGGAAAGAGTTCAGGTTGGAAAACATAGACGGATCATAATGTTTAAGGCTGAAAGATGATGAGTTCATTGGGTAGTCGCGCATGGGGCAATCCCCAATCAAATGGCGATTACTTGTGCAGTAGCAACAAGATATAGAGATAAATATGCGGCCAGAGGTTGGAGTTCGTTTAGGCAACTTCCAAAGCAAGTCACAGTCGTCCTCAGTGTGCTCCTTAGAGCCGCAAAAATCACATGGCTGTTCTGTAGCGGATCCTTTGAGAGGGGAATGACAATATACTGCGTCATGACCACGTTCCCTGCAACGCTGGCATCTCCGCCAAGAAGGACAAAAACGGCTTTCATGAACAGACCATGTTCCGCAATGTTCACACTGTGTTCAGTGTCAGACTTAACTAAGAGAAGTTTTCCCTGGCGCGCTCAGGCGCAAGGATAGCTGCGCTTTGGTGTTTAGAGGGAAGGGTTGCCGTGGGGAACATACCTCTTTACTCGGGCAAATGTCTGCCAGGTGGCCTTCCTTCATGCATTCGGTGCACCTTACTGGTAACCTAAGGTCAAGGTTCTCTGGCGGCATATCAAAAAATATATACCTAGCCTGAATCTCCAGATCATCGCGAGTGAGATCAGCAAGTGTAATAGGGTCTGAATGGTATCTGGCACGAAATGACCGGATCGCCTCAGCCTTTGGGGCTTCAGATGGGGTTTTCTCCTCGCTGGCTTCAGCGTGAAGAGGAGTTACTAAGATTCTGTCTCCAACCTTGACATTTATTTCGGAGCCAATAGTTTCGCCGAATCCCTCTCCATTAGGATATCGAGCTCCCAGCACACTGCTATCTTCACGAGGCAGGTCATTTCCCTGGACATCCGAAGTCCAACCTCTCGCCTCCTGAGCCGCATCTACTTTGGCTGAGCCGCTCAGGTTGAGAACGATATCATTATCTTCATGTGTGTCCTCGCCAGACTCCATATCAGAGAACTCTGCGGAGTAAGTCGTTTGGTCTCTGCTTGTTTCAGCTTGAAGCTTACTCCAAGAAACACCATGTTTCGAATCGCTTTGGTCTTGGTTCCGCATTCGATGACTCTGATCACCACTCCCTCTGGATGAAGTAGATGTACTTCGATTACGCCAGTATTTCCCATTAACAGTCTCAAATGAAGATGTAGCAGCTGCGCTGGCGGCTTCTGTTTGACGGCGCCCACGAAGGGCGGTCCTGACCGTCCCTTTACTGAGCTTGTTCCAATTCATTGAGGGTGCTCCTCCTCGTGACAGGGGGCGCGAAATGGGTGAAGAGACATGATCTGCAGATGCAGTGTCACAGCTGTTCTCTGTGTTCGTGTCAGGGCTCGAACTAGAAGCACTATAAACTGCTAACGATGTTGAGGTAAATAAAGTACCCTTCGGGACAAAGTCTTGAGTCTCGCGACTATCTAGGCTGTGATTCTTCCTTGAACGGCGTTTGTCAGCGGATCGTATCGGAAACGTTCCTTGAGACCCAGAGGACGTGTCCTTGTTGCGGGCCCGCAATAAACCAACAGATGCAGTTCGCGAGTCACAAGCAACATCCTCGTCAGACATTTCTCACGGCAAGCTCCAGTGTTCGCCAGCCAGGTGCATGGGGGCTAAAGATGCTAATCAGAAAGACGCGGCCGGATAGGCATGTGTGTAAAACCGAAACGAGGGGACCAGGTGAACTACCTAGGAATGCGTTGTTGAGTACCTTAGTTGACCTGGATATGTTCGAGTTTGGTTGGAGTTCAGAACTGCTTGAACACAAAACTCAAGCTCAAGGTTCGGGTCCACGTTTGTCGTCGTTAGCGCATTACGTAATAACCCAGTCAGCCACTCCAAGGATGCAACGAGAGCGACTCCTTTGAGCCGCACTCGGCATCTTTAGTTTCAACGTTCAACGTTCAACGTTTGCTCTTATTTCCTCTACAATAACTCAGACATCAGGTTGTTCTCTGTTCATAGCCTTCTGGGTTTCCTTTTGTGCCATTCTGGCTTCTTTTGTTCTACCATTACACTTCCTCTGGATCCGTCGAATTCAGTCGAGGGCTACGTCTTACGTGACGCCTCCTGCTCCTCATATTAATAATTACTCAATTTCTCCTTCTTCCTCCCCATTTCCTGACGTCTCTTTATGTCATTTCTGCAAATATACTATTTTCAGTCGTCTTCTCCTGTCTACAAATACTTTCGCAGTTCTCAGTTTACAAGTTATATACCCCGCCGCATTACTTGCCCGACATTTGAGCCCAGGTCTTCGACATTCCCCAAGGCAACAGTTGTTAGCAGGACTAAGAACAAATCCAGACAACGAAGCTCTCCCCTCGCCCTAGAACATCTCCTCACACACCTCATTTAACTCCTTTTTTTGCAAACGGTTCAGATCAATACCGCCAAACTGTCGTCCCTTCTGATTCCTCGGACTGTTTCCTTTCCCCCCGATCTCGACACGGGTCCTAAAACCGCAGCAACCCTTTCTCCAGATTTCACTATGAGTCAGACCACGACTGGGCGAAGGAGGCGCTCAAGTAGTATCATCTATCAAGAACCTCCGGAATCGATAGAGCATACAAGTGATCAAGCTGCCCTACCCAACCTGAATGCAAACTGGGTTAACGCAAAAGGTTAGAGAATTACTCCTTTTTTATCTCTGCGTAACAGGGATTCCTCATTCGTGAAACTCCAAAGCTCATGAGCCACATGCTCAGTCTATTGTGTTACGAACAAACGCAAGCTAATTCAAAAACAACCTGATTCTTAGGTGCATGGACGATCCATTTTGTATTAATCATCGCTCTCAAGATCTTTTACGACATTATTCCAGGCGTATCGCAAGAGACTTCATGGACCCTCACAAATATCAGTTACATGTTTGGCTCGTTTCTGATGTTTCACTGGGTTCGAGGGGTACCTTTTGAATTCAATGCTGGAGCATATGACAACCTTAATATGTGGGAGCAAATTGACAACGGAGACCAGTACACACCAGCGAAGAAGTTTCTGCTCTGTGTTCCAATTGTTCTCTTCTTACTCAGTACTCACTATACCCACTACGACCTGACCTACTTCATAATAAACTTCATGGCAGTTCTGGGTGTCGTTATTCCGAAGCTACCTATTGTAAGTGATATCATTACTGGCAACTAGCTCCGTCAGAATCCAACTGTCACTAACACTTTTCACTCTCTAGTCTCATCGGTTGCGAATAGACCTATTTTCTGAGCACCGGGATGATCCTTGAGTTGCGTCAAGGTATTCTAAGAAAGGAAAAGCAAAAAGGAGAGACAAATGGAGAAATCCCCAGTTTGGCTCGATTTATATTGAAAGTCTTCCTATTCTTCTCTCTTCATTCGTTCCCCCGATGTTATCCACCCTCTGGATTCCGCAGCTGTGTAAACCCCACATTTTACCAGAGTCGAATTAAACGCCACTTTTTTCGATAGGTTACTCCCTAATTTCAGCTGATATTCAAACAAAACGAGTAAACGTTTCTCTCCTTTGTCTCTTTCTATTTGACGTCTTTAGCCATTGCTTGAGCAGTTCCGATTTGTGCACAGGAAGGCAAGAGGGAAGGAACTCCGGTCAGTCAAGGAGCAAATAATACATTTTGAGATCACATCTGCACGGCGTTCATGGGCCAAATTCAGATAAAATGGAGCCCAGGTCTTGAAAATGCAAAGGATCAATGGAATTTTTTTTTTTTTTTTTTTTTTTTTTTTTTTTTTTTTTTTTTTGCAGACACTAACAATATATATAATAATACCTTGGGTGTATTTGATGCTGATCGACCATGGGGGATTCGCTGTGGCATGGTGTCACCCACCAGTCAATCGTTCAAAAGCTTCTTGATACGAGAAGAAATTACATGAGAGCCAATTGAAATCATTCGTTGAGATGAGCTTTTTAGGACAAAGGTGGAAATTAGTAAAATGCAGTATCACAACCACAGGAATCAAGTTAATAATGTGCTTGTTCTCTACCTTCTGTACAATAAAAGGGGATTTAGCCCTCACTATCATCATCCCAACAGAAAATGGCAGCACAATATTGAGACTTTCTGATCAATCCAAGAAATTACTTTTTAAGTCCCTCCATGTACGAAATGCACATAAGTGGCATGAGCGTGTTATTGCTTGGTACATTGTCCATCTTGAAGGCCTAGAGAAGAGCCATCCCCTATCAACTCTATATCTAGAACAAAAATCACAATTGAGAGTTGTAAACATATCCCACTTCTGTTTCGATTTGTTCTTAAAGATTTGTGGCACCCTGAATTTAATGGCTTTGCATTTGCAACCTCGTTTCCTTCCAATTTCATTATCGCCCACAGATAGAAGGAGTGAAAAGAATTTTTATTTCCCCATTTCTCCTAGCCATTTTCAAGGTTCGGTTTATGAAACCAAGAAAATAGATGGCTGGGCGTAAAAAAGAGCTGGAAGGAAAACAAAGAAAGTAGAAAATAATTTCACATTGAGCTCTGTAGATATGCGCCAGAACATTTTGGAGTGGGATGGTAAAAGATTTGCTTACTTAAAACACGATAGAAGAAAAGGAAAGGATACATGGTGAATATCAAGAGTAAGATGGGGAAGAAGAAAACACGAGAGGCTATTTCAGCGCCATCATTCATATAAAGCAAAACAGAGCAGATGAAAAGGGAAAAAAAACATCAAATGAACGCCTTCCCACGCCCTTTGTTACCTTTTAAAAAGAATTTGAAGGACAAAAACCAGACTAAAAAAAGAATAACGTACGCTTCAGGAGGTTAACCTGTGAAAAAATATTGAGAAAAACAAAATAAAAGAGAAGTCAAGCAGGGCAACAAGATATAGGTCAGGCTATTTAAGGGTTATCGTCGTCTACTTGTTGCGGGCTCCCTTGATATTGCGGTCTCTTGGGGTATCCTGAGCCGGAGCCGGAGCTGGTAATAGGGCGGGGGCCAGTGGGCTTTCGTTGCGGAGTTTTATTTTTCGGGGAGGACCTAATTGGGGATCCATTTGTCTAATTATATCAAGAAATTGGTGATTAGCTAATCAACATTGCAAATCGTGGGAAAGTATCAAGAACGGATTAGACATACACCATCATAATTTGAGGGGTGTGAACCACGGGAGGCCATGCGTTCTGCATAGGTGAGTTGACCATCCCCGCTCACTTTAGGCAACCTTTGAGGAATCAAGGGACCTTCGTCTCTAATCTTTGGCGGGCGTGGGGGTGCGTTTCGTTTCGCAGAAGTCGTTGATAGATCGGAATATCCACCGTCCGAACCAGGCGCGTTAGGATTGGGAGTCATTCGACCCAGGCTCTGGGTGGATGCCCAAGCTTCAGAATTGTGGGCAATTGGAGGTACGAATGTTTGCGCTTGCGATTCTAGCTGAGATTGATAGCGGCCCGTAGGTCCCTGACGTGGCTGAGGGTGTTGTAAATTTAAACTATCCCTATGTGCCCGATACTTCGGATGTTCCGAAAGTTGCGATGGAACTAGAGGAGACGGAGGACGGTTTTCTTGTCTCTGTTCCAAGCTCATATTGGAGCGCAACCTATCATCGCCGTGGTGATCGTAATATTCGCCAGTATTATATCCGTCCTGCCCCAAATCAGAACCGGATCGCGATAGCTCCGAAGATTGTCTGTCTTTTCGACTGGTTTGGATGCTATTGCGGATGTTTTCGCCCATAGAAGAAGCTGTTGTTTTCGACCACCGGGAAATTTTAGGGAAAAAAGATGAACTACTTGATTTGTGTTTTCGAGACTTTCCGTCGGACATTTTAGGGGTTGTATCTGTGCTTAAGGCGCCAGATGCAAGATGAACTCGCGGAGGAGTCCCTAGTGAGACGGAGCCACCTCGTCTGTGGCGTCCTGTTAGCTGGGCGTCAACAGCATTTTGTTGATCAAGTAAATTTTGCTCTTGTGGTGTTAGCGTGTCCAAATCCTCATCGCCTTCAAGAACTGGACTGATCCGGTGCTCGGATCCGCGGCGTGTACTCGCCGCCTTCATATCCCCAATTAAACGAGGAGAATTTGAGAAACCTGACTGGTCGCCGCCAGTTGATGACGTGCCAGCTTGGCCCTCGGGCTCATATCCATCTTGGCCAGGTTCGCGAATATTCTCGCTCGAGCTAACAGGTCCAGTTCCTGGTGCCCGGCCTTCCTGGGCAGCTCTCAAAGCCTCAACCTCAAGAAGCAGGTGCACAAGCATGTCCTCGACTCTAGTAAGATCGTTGGAGCTTTTCAGGCTCAGACCTTTCAAGGCCCGTTTGAAAACATTCTTCCTTTTTGATCGCATATCTTCCTCTTCATCTGTTGCAGTGCGTCGAGGGGTCCGCGGAGTGCCCAGGGGTTGAGGCCGAGGCCCACCAACAATTTTTTGGGTACGATCATGTTGTTTCTCGTTCGTATCCATTAGCATTTCATCTTGTTGGGCGATGAATTTTTTCATGTCCTCGAAGGAATTACGCATTTCTGCCGCACTTCGAACTAGAGTGACGAGTATTTCGGTATCTCGAGCATTTCTTTGCGCATCACGAACAGTAAGCTAGACAAAATGGTAGCATCAGAATTGCATCCTT